GAAAAGATATTTGCAAATGATGTATCCAATAATGGGTTAATATCCAAAATATATAAAGAAATCCTGTACCTCAACACCAAAAAACAGATAATCTGATTTAAAAATGGACAGAGGACCTGAATAGATGTTTTTCCACAGAAGACATACAGATGGCCAAGAAACAAATGTTGAGCAAAGATGCTCAACATCAGTAATCATCAGGGAAATGCAAATCAAAACCACAATAAGATATCACCTCTCACCTGTCAGAATGACTAATATCAAAAAGATAAGAAATAACAAGTGTTAGCCAGGATGTTGAGGGAGCCCTCATGCACTGTTGGTAGGAATGTAAACTGGTGCAGCCCCTGTGCTGGGCTGTATCCTCAAAAACTTATAAATAGGAATACCATATAATCTATTAGTTCCACTGCTGGGTATTTACCCAGAGAAAATGAAAACACTAATTTGAAAACATATATGCACTCTTATGTTCACTGCAGCATTATTTACAATAGGTAAGCTGTGGAAGCAACCCAAGTGTCCACTGAAAGATGAATGGATAAAGAAAATATGGTATATATGTAAACAATGGAATATTACTCAGTCATTAAAAAAAAAATGACATCTTGGGGCGCCTGGGTGGCTCAGTCGTTAAGCGTCTGCCTTTGGCTCAGGTCATGATCCCAGGGTCCTGGGATCAAGCCCCGCATCGGGCTCCCTGCTCTGTGGGAAGCCTGCTTCTCTCTCTCCCACTCCCTCTGCTTGTGTTCCCTCTCTCGCTTGTCTCTCTCTGTCAAATAAATAAATAAAATCTTTAAAAAAAAAAAATGACATCTTGCCATTTGTGACAACATGGGTGGACCTACAGGGTATTATTCCAAGTGAAATAAGTCAGATACAAAAAGACAAATCTACATGATTTCATTCATATGAGGAATCCAAAAAACAAAATAAAAAAGCAAACAAACACGAAACAGAAACAGACTCAAATACAGAGAAGAAAACAAGCAAAGGAAACAGACTTACAAATACAGAGAAGAAAACTGGTTGTCAGAAAGGAGAAGGGTCAAGTACACGGGCAAAATATGTGAAGGGGATTAAGAGGTATAAAATTCTCATTATAGAATAAATAATCCATGGGGATGAAAAGCACAGCATAGAGAATTTAGTCAATAATACTGTAATAACTTTGTATGGTGACAGATGGTCACTATACTTACGTGGTGAGCACTTTGTAATGTATGGAATTGTCCAATCTCTATGTTGTACACCTGGAACTAATATAGCATTGTAGGTCAACTATACTTCAATAAAAAAATACAACCCATCAAAGACTTAATCAGGAAGAAATAAAATATCTGAATAGAGCAATTACTAGAAAGGAGATTGAATCAATAATTTTTTTAAATGTCCCAATGAAGAAAAGCTCAGAACTTGTGTTCCCTCTCTTGCTGTGTCTCTCTCTATCAAACAAATACATAAAATCTTTAAAAAAAAAAGATAAAATATTTAAGAATAGACTTAACCAATGAGGTGAAAGCCTTGCACCCTGAAAGCTAAAGACATTGGCAAAAGAAATCAAAGAATATACAGACAAATGGAAAGTCATCTCATGCTCATGAACTGGAAGACTTCATAGTGTTAAAATAGTGTTAAAATGCCCAAAGTACCCAAAGAAGCTATCTACAGATTCACTGCAATCTTTATCAAAATCCCAATGGCATATTTTGCAGAAATAGAAAAAATAGCCTAAAAGAAGAATGTTACAGTGTCTCACTTCCTGATTTTGAAACATATTACAAAGCAACAGTAATCAAAACTATATGGTATTGGCATAAAGACAGATATATGGAACAATGGAATAGAATAGAGCACCCAGAAATAAAGCTCTGAGTATATATGGCTGAATGCTTTTCAACACAGGTGCCAACATACACAGTGGAAAATGGTCAGTGTCTTCAACAAATAGCACTGGAAAAACTATATCTATCTACATGCAAAAGAATGAAGTTGGACCCTTACTTTATATTACATACAAAAGTTAACTCAAAATTGGCATAAATGTAAAACCTAAAATTATAAAACTCCTGGAAAAAGGCATAGGAGAAAACTTTCAGGACACTGGATTTGGCAGTCACTTCTTGGATATGACACCAAAAACACAGGCAAAAAAAGTAAAAATAAACAAATGGGATTACATTAAACTTAACCTTTGTGCATCAAAGGAAACAACAGGGTGAAAAGGCAACCTACAGAATGGGAGAAAGCATTTGCAAACCACATATCTGATAAGAAGTTAATATCTAGAATATACAAAGAAATCCTATAGCTCAACAACAACAACAAAGTAACTTCAAATTTTTTAATAATAGAAATATTAATATTAATAATGGAAAACAGTATAGCAGTTCCTCAAAAAATTAAACATAGAATTAACATATGTTCTAACAATCATGGAACACTTCATCTAAAACTAATGTTGTAATGTAAGGGGATTAACATAAGAATAAAAAAATTAAAAAAAAAAAAAAACATATGTTCTAACAATCCAGCTTCTGGGTATACACCTGAAAAATTCAAAGCAAGATCACAAAGAGATATTTACATATTCATGTTCCTTGCAGCATTATTCACAATAGCCTGAAGGTAAAAGAAACCCAAATGTCCATTAATAGAAGACTGGGTAAAGAAAATGTGGTATATAACATGCAATGGGATATTCACAGCCTTAAAAAGGAAGACAATCCTGTCGCATGCTACAATATGGATAAAACCTGAGGACATTATACAAAGCAAAATAAGCCAGTCACAGAAGCTCAAATACTATATGATTCCACTCATATGTATTATCTGAAGTAGTCAAAATCATAGAAACAGAAAACCAGAAAGGTATTTGCCAAGAGGGGCAGGCGATGCAGGGGAAAGGGGATATTAGGCTTTAATGGGCATAGAATGTTGGTTTTTAGGATGAAAAGGTTCTAGAAATCTGTTAAACAACAATGTGAATATACTTAACACTACTCAACTATACATTTAAAAATGGTTAGTATGGAAAATTTAATATTAAATGCTTTTTACCACAATAAAAAAAAAGAATGAAGGAAATTAGTATTCAATACTAGATCTCCCTGATTCCAAATTATGTACTCACAACTGCTAAATCCAGTTTACTACAAAACACAATAAACTCTGTATTCATTCACTAGAAAACAATTAGAGAAATGGGTAATTTCACATTGGTAGACTATTTCAAAAAAGAGCACCAGGGAAGCTTCCTTAGCAAGCTCCTCACTGAACTTCACCAAGGCTATAGTCAATCCTCATACTGACACTGGTAACCACACAGCAATATAAATTGTGTTTAAATGAAGTAGTTGATACCTTTTAAGTGTATCCCTACTCACTTTTAAATTTTAATGAACAATTATTATCTCTGTGAGGAAAAAAAGTGGCTAAAAAGTAATCCTGTAAAAAGAAAAGCTGTATCAATAAAGAGCTTTCAGATTGGTTAAAAGGATTTGAGATTGGTATTAGTCCAAAAAGGTCTCTGGGGTCCCAACCAAATAATGGTTACTGGTTTAAGTTACTACATTTTGAAGTGATTTTCTATGCAGTAATAGATAACTTATGCTTATCTTGAAGTCTACTTTGTCTGATATTAATCTAGTTAAGCAAGTTTTTTAGAATTTTTGTTCTTATATTTTTACAGTCTTTTACTTTCATTATGTACCATATTTTAGATATGTCAGTTTTAGGGAGAATGTGTGCATTCATGTGTCTTGCATGATAATCTTTGTCTTTGCTTTTAATTAGTCTTTATCTTTGGTTTTTAATTACAGTACTTAATCCCTCTATACCTAATATAATAATTTATTTGAGTTGAAATTTATCTTAACCTTAGCTTTTAAATTTGTCCCACATTTATGAAACAAAAATTTAATGTATAATGTTTTCCTTTCCCTTTATTGACTTCTTTTTGTTGATTATGCTTAAAATTCTGCTTGTCCACTTCTAATTGCTTTGCAATTTTACCGGAATATGATTTTAGAATATGTGTTGGCATTGTACTGGGTCAGCTTAGCTATGCTAAAAAAAAAAAAAAAAAAAAAAAAAAAAAAACCCTCCCACTCATTAGTGAGCCAATGCACTTCAATTTTTGTAACCTCTGCCAATATTTAGCTCAGCTTCCCTGCTTCATATCCACCTCTTCTGGAATCAACAGACTCCCTTATGGAATGAAATATTTTTATAACATATCTTAAAATTTTAATATCTGAAGGTTTTCTGTATCTAAATCTATTATTTTTTGTTTTGCTAACCCTTGTTTATGGTAGCTAATTTTCTTATGAATTTTGAGCTCATATATGGCTGGTGATAATCTGTGGGAATCCTGCTTGAAGTTGCATTCCTATGGAGAGAAATATTCTTTGCCTCCAACAGGTGCCCTTGGATCTTACCAACCAGGAATAAATGTAGCCTCATAGTTCAGAATCTCCTAACTACCTATGTTGTACAAATTAAAAACCTAAACCCATACAGGATCAGAAGTATAATCATGAATCCTCAATATGAAAATTTTGTTCATTTGTTTTTCTGTCATTTCATTTACCTAGAACTAACAATGAAACAGATAACTTGTTTTCTGCCTTCACTTAGAAAAAGTAGCATATTTGTTTTGAAGGCAATTCTTTCAATGAGGCTGAAGCAGTTAAATACATTGTATGTGGAGGTTGAGGGTTTCACTGAGGATGTAGTTCTTTTGAAAAAAAGAAAAATAGACTGACAAGCTTTAAAAAAAATGAAAAATGCTTTACTTTACAAAAGCATTTAGAGAACCTCATATATAAAGTAAGTGAATTAACAAACACTTGGCTTATGCACAATTTTTAAGAAGTTATTAATTGCAAAAGCAAAATAAACATCAAAAATGTTTCTGAAATTTTTATTACATCCTTGAAATCAAGTTAGATACAAAGGTTAAATCATTTTAAAATAACAATACATAAAAAAGGACCTACCAGATTTTTATCCACAACAATATATATTTCAACATACTGAGGGCGTAACTTGAAAAATTCAGTTCTCTGAAAAACAAACATGAGTCCTGAGGAATTTCCAAAAATTAACCTTCTATTGAAATCATATTCAGAAACTGAGACATAGTGCTACTGATTATATAACAAAGCTGCTTCCAAATACAAAATTTAGGTACTATTCAGAAAATTCCAGTCCAAAAATTGTCTGTGGTTAATAGGAATGTTCAATGAGATCCCAAGCTATACAAGAATCCAGGTATCTGTTAATTTTAGCAATAGCTGCAATTGGAAATATCAACCTTAATCTCTTATTTCTTGCCTTGTGATAATGTTCATAGTAGTCTTCCATATGGGCAGATTTTCTGCTACCAATTATTAGGAAACTAATTCTGGCAAACAATAAAGTTTAGAAAGTATTACTGGAGTTTACAATCAATGGCAGTTCACTAGAGCCAGGAATGTTATTTATGATGTTATAGCAGTTTACAGGCCTTTGTGGAAGAAGAATTCATTGCTTTGTTTTACATGTACCTTATGTGGGCCACTAATAGTATTCATTTCTGAACTCTCCTGAAACAAAGACTTAACTTAGAAATCCAGATCACATGACATTTTCACCTAATTTATCAGCCTAATTGAGGAAAAGGAATAATTTACATTAACTATCCAAATGTCCACATGTGAACATTAATTTTTTGGTTTCTTGAATCCTACATTCACATATGTGTCCAAGATTAACTACCTAAGTCTTTACTAAACTTTAATCTCATAACAAGCTTAATGAAGAAATAATCTTAAGATCTGTAAGTCATCAAATTTTGCTCTGAAAGTAGTTTTCATTTCACAAAATTATAAGGAAGAAAAATTTAAAAGTCAACACTTACTTCTGAACTTTTTCTGATATGATAATATGTATTATTATAGCTGTAAGTCTTAGTTTCTCCTAAGAGAGGTACACTAGTGTTATCATATTTTTCTTCATAAATCATGTGCACAAATCCTGATACGGCCTCCATTGGTTCAATTCCATATGAGATGTTTTTAAGCTGTAATGTTCCCCTGAGTATTAAAATAATCAAAACAAGTCTGAAATTATTCTACCAAAACTATAACATTCTAATGAGAAATTTTGGCAAAAAAAAATTTTTTTTACATTTAAAGTCACCTTGGTTTCTCTACTTTATTCATTGAGGTGTTAAACTCAAAACTGGACCAGTAATACCACAGGATGCATACTGCCTTATATTACAAATATTCTAAGAGAAATGTTTTATTATCTTAAAGAAAGCATATAAGCGGCATGGACCCATCTGATTAAACAGGTTAGGACCCCTTCCTAGGGTATAGATTTTCTAAGCCAGCCTGTCAGATCTTTAGGCACTATCTTCCTTAGTCTTGGGTCCTTTCTTCTTTTTGAGATACCTACTCTTCCCTGACACTTAATGTCCTATGTCATTTTTTGTGTGGACTTAACTGAAGGTATTACCTGCCTAAAAATTACCAGAAGCAAAACCAAAATAGCTATCAGATCTAGGCATTCTACAATTTTTTACCATGCTAGGAAATTAAGAAATCAATAAAAACATGAAAAATCTGGAAAAACTAAAGAAGTATGGAGAGACCAACCAACACTCCCTACACTCAAGGCCACTCAAAGCCTCAAGCAGCAGAACCTGTTAGACTCAACAAGTAGCCTTCCATCAGGGACAAGTTCCGCCATCGTGACCAATTCTATTTTACCAGTAATTCTGTTTCACTCCTTAGGGAACTGAGATAACAAAGGTGAATAAAGAACTAGAAAAGATAAACGGAGGATCAACTCAAGTTAGCAGGATCAAATACCAGCAATGGAATATCTTTAAATAGGCTACAACCTGAGTCCCGAACAAGTGTGCAGCGACACAAGAGAATTTGGAAAACCTGCAACATATCCATGATAACTGCAATCCATCTGAAAAAAAATACACAAGAACAAATGGATAACTTATTTTTTAAATGTGTCATTTTTATTTATTACTTTATCTACCTTAGTACTTTAACATGCATGGGCAATTACCCAATGAAATTTTGCCAGGTAGAAATAAGAACTAGTCCAAATTATTCAATTTCAGTGAATGTGTAAAATAGTATTCTAGAAATTTCAGAATATTTACATTTTTAAAGATAATTCAGAGTAAGAAATCTATAAGAAAAAACTAAGTCTTACCTGCGCTAACAAAGGCTGAGAGTGTTGGGTGTCATCTTTGTCATAAGAGTAAACAACAGAAACTGAAGATAAAAATGTTCTAGACAAAAATCACAAAATATGCTCAAGTTGTGAAACAGGAAACATAGAAAAAATTATTCTTCATAATACAAATTGTCCTTTTACTAAGGAATTGTAGTGCCAATTACCTTTGCATAGTCAATTGTCCAAATACTTTTATTTACAATAAACCAGGTGCTGAAGAAAGCATTTTAACTATAGTAACATACAATACTAAAATGCATGCTAATAAACAACCCAAATAGCTAGAAATAGCAAATAGTAAAATAACATAGGTCCCAATTTCCAACTTAGAACTTTAAAATCTTTGTCTTTATCGCTCACTGTTCCAGATTTTAAACCTGAATCTTAAAAACTAGGGTTAGAACAAAATTTTAAAAGATTTGCTTAACATTACTACAAAGTCATATTCACTAAGCTTAGCTAAGTACCAAGTTCTCGATACCCTTGTTCAGAATTTTCCTTCATTCTCCTCAGTAACAACTCAGAAACTTGACACCTCTCCTGCCAATCATTTCATGTAATCTCCATGTCACTTTTGTTTCAGACCCCCTCTACCCATCCTCATTCCTCATCTTTATTTCCAGGAAATGACTACTTCTATTGTTCAAAGCACACCCTACACTTGTGCTACAAATCCCACCTGTGCCATATATTGAAGATGGTTTTCCAATCCTATAATTTCAAACTATTCCTCTCTACTGTTTCAAACTGTTTCAAACTATTCCTCTCTACTCATCCTTAAACTCACATGGAGTTTATTATGAAATCATTACCTTCATAAATAATTCTCCCTTGACCTGTGTCCTACTATGGCAATTCCTCATGTATTTTCAATTCTCAACAGATTCTATCAATAGAGTAGTCTACACATAGTTTCTCCACTTTATCAATTCTTATTCACCCTGAAACTGCTCTGGGAAAGATTCATAACCATCAGAATGTCAGATCCAAAAGGCAATTTTAAAATCATTGCTTTGGACTTCTGCCATCATTTTGAAAACTCTGACCATTCAGTCTAATCACTTAATTTACATCACACATCACTCTTCTGCTTTTCTTCCTACCTCCCTAACCCTTCCAGCTTGATCTTCCATGTTGGCCGCTCTTTTTTATTATGCTTATCTCGGAAATATTGATCTTTCCTAGGATTCAATCTTTAGTCACCAGTCTATTTATAAGCACTCTATAAGCTCTCTTTTTTTATATTACAGCCAAACTATTGATTACTGCTAATCTATATCCTATTGTCATTCTCTCCTCAGAGATTCAAATTCCTATATTCATAAACTTAATGGAGTAAACCCACTTGGATGTCTTATAAGGCACTGCAAACCAAACTCAACCCTTCCTCACACATATATTTCACTTGTTTCTCATTTAATTAATTATAAGCTACCCATTTTCTTAAGTAACAACTAAATTATCTAAGATACCTCACTTTTTCTCAATCACTCTAACAAATCCACCTTTGAAGTCTACTGAATTTTTCTTTCCTGTGCTATGGCCAATGCCATTGTTCAAGCCACCATCATCACTCACCTAAACTCTTATATAACCACATAATTAGACACCTTACCTCAACTTCTTCTTTAAAAACAGCCTCAACTCTCAATGGGACCGTAAAGTACATGCTTAAAAACATTTTTGGCTTCCAATATCCTTATCATGGCATTATAGATCTACAACCTGGCTCCTGCCTACTTTCCAAAATCTTTTACTTCTATCCTCCAGAAATACATCCTTTAGTAATTCACATGGACTTTCTGCCCACCGCAGAATCGACTCTGTCTCATACCTCCATGTTTTGCACACGATTTCCTCTAAACAGAATGTCCCCCTACCCTACCTCATTTCTTTAGAGCGCTCATAAGGTATCTTCTCTCGAGATACAAATTATCTTATACCTCTTTCCAAAAAACTTTCCTTGATTTCCAAAGAATACTGTTTACACATTTATTATAATACCATATTATAATAAAATTCTCCCTCTTTCCATTAGTTTGTCTGAATATATAAATTCACTGTGGACCATGTTTTATCTTTGTATGCCTATGATTTTACCCAATAATCAATATACAATAAGTATCACATGTATATACATATCAATGCACATTTGAATTGAAATGATTCTATTCATACCCATTTTTAAAAATCAAAAAAACAAAGAATTAAAATTTGAAAGGATAAAATAGTTACTTACTGTTTCGTGAGATGGACAAAATATGGCTTCCCTTTTATTGTAATGATATAAGCAATCTGTAACATGAGTATCCAAAATATCAGTAATAATACTTGCAAATAATATATGCTAAATAATGCATTTTCTGAGTTATGCTTTAAAAATATTGACAAAATTAATAATTATGTATAACCATTATATATGCTTCCCTTCCTGTGTGATATTCAAAGCCTCAGAATTCTAAATTGAGAACTATATACTAGTCCCCACAAGCCTTTATTCACCCTAACTAACATTTCTGAGGGAGAAGTTTACCTGATGATTATTATCTTTTGGCTTAGACATATACCACCCTTCACTATGCCCAAGGCAAATACCAAAGACGCCCACCTCACTTGAAAGAACCTATTACTTGTTTACTCCCAGACCTCCCAAAATTAAAATGAAAGAAATACTACCCCATGGAAGAAACACTCCTAAAGTATAGCAGTACAAGAAATGCACTACACCTCTAGCAATATAACATAATAAGTGCCATTGCACTTTGCTTATCCACATAAGCAATGAAATGCCTCTGGAATAGAATGTAGGAGAGGATAGAGGGGGAGCAGAGACATGTCTAGAGAACCCACCAAAAGATAATAGAAAATATGAGTCACTAAATTATTTATCTGGCTAATTTTTAAAAATTATTTTAACAAGAGAAATAGCCATTTAAAAGTTTTCAGTTCCTCAACTTTGTATTATAACAGAACAAGATTCTTTGCAACAGATAAATGTTCTCAAGAGTCATTTGAATGACACTCTAGAAATGAGTATATAAGTGAAATCTGGTGAGGATCCTGAGAATTGTGTCCTCTAAAAATACCCTGTTATTAAACAAATATGATGAAAAATAAAGTGGAATATGATAGCATCAACAAAATTTTAAATCCACACAGCTAACAAAACAAAAAACCTAGAATTTAAATATTAAGAAATGTACAAAACTGACAGGAAGAGAAAAAAAACTTCAAAAAGTCATCACCTAGAACTTCTACAACTTTTCATACACAGCATCTAAATGTTTGGGTTGAATTGTCTTCCTCCTTCCAAATTTATATGTGAATTCCTAACCCCAGGACCTTGGAACATGATCTTATTCAAAGATAGGATCCTTACAGAAGTAATAAAGTTAGGTTTCTAGGGTGGATCTTAATCCAATATGACTGGTATCCTTATAAAAAAGGGGAAATTTGAACACAGACATACACAAAGGGGAATGCCATGTGAAGATTCACAAGGAGAAGACTCCATCTACATAAGCCAAGGAGAGAGGCCTGAGGCAGATTCTCCCTCACAGTCTTCAGAAAGAACCAACCCTGCTAACACTCTGATCTTGGGCTTTTAGCCTCCTTTGTTGAACTGTGGAAAAATACATTGCTGTTGCTTAAGCCACATGGCTTGTGTTACTTTGTTATGCAATCCCTTGAAAACTAACACACCAATTTTTAATGAAAAATTATAAGAAATGCAAAAGAACAGGATCAAATTACCAAAAACCAAGTAAAAAATAGGGAATTATAACAAAGCTACAGGTAATATGTATATTAACCATGACTCAAGTGAGAAAAATATAGAGAATTTCAGACGGGTAGAATATCTAATATACAAATTGAAATTCTAAAGCAGAAAAAATGCAATACCTGCTATTAAAAATTCAATAAAAAGAGTTTGAGAAAAGATCAGATGGAGTAGAAGACAGAATTGGTAAACAGGAATACAGATCAGTAGAAAATATTCAGATTGAAGCACAGAGAAAAAAATATAAAGAAGAAAATAAGAGAAGTGTGACCCATTAAAAATGTCTAACATTCATGTAATTATAGTTCAAGAAAAACAGGAGAAAGATAGAGACCAGGAAAGAAATAGATTTGAGGAATTAATCCCTGAGATTTTCCAAAGGTTATGAAAGATGTCAACCCACACTCTCAAATACTGTATTAATCCAAAACAGAATGAATACAAAGAAAACAAACCTAGGCATATCATACTCAAACAACTAAAACAAAAAGACAAAAGCACATATTTAAACAGCAACAAGAGAGAAAGGGCACATTACTTTCAAAAAACTTTTAAATAGAGTATGCCTAAGTCTCCCACAGAAACAATGAACACCAACAGGCAATGAAAAGACATCTTTAAAGTGCTGAAAGAAAATTATATTCAACCAAGAGTTTATATCCAGCAAAAATATCCAGCAGATACAAAAGCAAAATAAACATATTTCTTCACAAGAGAAAATGAGAGAATTCATTGCCAGCAAACCTGCACTGAAAGAAACACTAAAAATACTGTGTTCTTTTTAATAAAAAGGAAATAGCTACAAGATAGAATCATGAAAATATAAGAGAATGAAAACCACAGGGTTTTTTTTTTTCGGTAAATTTAAGTGACTATCATTTGTTTTAAGCAGTGATAGTAAGTGCTCTTTGCATTAAAAAAAATACATAGTTGTAAAATATATAACAATGGCAAAATGACAAAAAGAACATAAATGGAGTAAAGTTTCAAGGTCCATGAGTTATTCAGGCAGTGGTAAAAATATAAATTTAGTAATCACAAGGGTAATCATTAAAAGAATAATAAAGGAATGCATCACTAATAGCCTAAAAAGATAAATTAGAATAATAATCACATCATGGATTATAAACAGAGGAAAGGAAAATTTAAGGAAAACCAATGGATTTAAAAAATAATAATTATATGGGGCGCCTGTGTGGCTCAGTCGGTTAAGCAGGCAACTCTTGATTTTGGCTGGGGTCATGATATCAGGGTCATGGGATCCAGCCCTGCACTGGGCTCCACACTCAGCACAGAGTCTGCTTAAGATCCCTCTCTCCCTGCTTGCTCTTTCTCTCTCTCTCAAATAAATAAATAAAATAAACTTTTAAAAATAATTATTATACACTTTATAAAAGAGAAGCATTTTAAACATAAAACACTGAAAATAAAAGGATTAAAAATTATACCATGCAAACAATACCCAAAAGAAAGACAATGTAGCTATATTAATAGCAAGCAATATATACAACAGACAAATGAAAAAGTGCTCAACATCACTCAGCATCAGGGAAATGCTAATCAAAACCTCAATGAGATACCACCTCACACCAGTCAGAATGGCTAAAATGAACAAGTCAGGAAACGACAGATGTTGGCAAGGATGCAGAGAAAGGAGAATCCTCCTACACTGTTGGTGGGAATGCAAGCTGGTGCACCCACTCTGGAAAACAGTATGGAGGTTCCTCAAAAAGTTGAAAATAGAGCTACCCTATGACCCAGTAATTGCACTACCGGGTATTTACCCCAAAGATACAAATGTAGTGATCTGAAGGGGCATTTATGGCAGCAATGTCCACAATAATCAAACTATGAAAAGAGCCTAGATGTCCATCAACAGATGAATGGATAAAGATGTGATATATATATATATATATATACACAATGGAATATTAGGCAGCCATTAAAAAGATGAAATCTTGCCATTTGCAACGACATGAATGGAACTAGAGGGTATTATGCTAAGCGAAATAAGTCATTCAGAGAAAGACAAGTATCATATGACCTCACTAATATGAGGAATTTGAGAAACAAGACAGAGGATCATAGTGGAAGGGAGGGAAAAATGAAACATGAAGAAACCAGAGAGGGAGACAAACCTTAAGAGACTCTTAATCTCAGGAAACAAACTGAGGGTTGCTGGAGTGGTGGGGGGTGGGAGGGATGGGGTGGCTGTGTGATGGACACTGGGGAGGGTATGTACTATGGTGGGTGCTGTGAATTGTGTAAGACTGATGAATCACAGACCTGTACCCCTGAAACAAATAATACATGATATGTTAATTTTTAAAAAGAAGTTATATAAGAACAGCAAATTAAAACCAAAGAAAAGAGACTAGTGGATATTTTTTAAAATTACAACAGAGAATATCAACAAAGCCAACAGATGATTCTTTGAAAAGTCGAATAAATCTGATAAACCCTGATGAGACTGACCACAAAAAAAATGAGGTTAGAAAAGTTACAAAAATATCCACTAACTACCCCTCAACTCATGAGGCTAGCATTACCTTGATACCAAAACCTGACAAAGTTACTTTAAAAAAAAGAAAGTTCAGGTCAGACTCTCTCATGTGATAAATGCAAAAATCTTAAAATATTAACAAATATTAACAGTAATGTGTCATAGCTATGTTCAGTTTATTCCAGGTGTTCAAAGTTGGTTTAACATTCAAACTATCAATTCAGTAAAGTCAACCAGATTAATAGAATGAAAGAGAAACCTCTATCATTTTGATTCAGAAAAAGCATTTGATAAAATTTAACATCTATTTATCTAACAGAAAATATTCACACAAATTCTTAAACACCACAGAAAACTTCACTTCACTGTAATATTGAATACTTTCTTTGAGATCCAGAAAGGGAAAAGGATATTTGCCATCATCATTTCTATTCAACTCTGTATGTAAGGCCCAGGCAAAGTAATAAGACAACGGAAAAAGCCAAACAAACAAAGGGCATAGGACTGGAAAAAAAAAAGTAAAAACATCAGTATTTTTAGATAATGTGATTGTGTTATTCAAAAGAATCTACAAAGTAGTTGAATTAATCAGAGAGTTGAGCAAGATAGAAAAATCAAATGTGTATCCGATACTAGCAACAGAGACTGAAATTTACAAAATTAAATAATTTGCGGGGCGCTTGGGTGGCTCAGTCAGTTGTCGTTTCAGGTCATGATCCCAGGGTCCTGGGATCGAGGCCTCCATCGGGCTTCCTGCTCAGTAGGGAGTCTGCTTCTCCCCCGCCTTCTGCTTTCTGCTCCCCCTGCCTGTGCTCTGTCAGATGGATAAATAAGATCTTAAAAAAAAATTTAAATAATCTGCAACAGCATCAAAAATATCAAATACACAGAAATATATCTAACAGAAGACATATAAGACCACTATTGAGGGCTATTTTTCTGTCTTTGTGTCAATACCACACTGGTCTTAATTATTCTAAGTATCAATATCTGAGAAAGTAAATCTTCACT